GGCCAGGGGCGCTGCCCTTGCAGCGCTGCCGGAGGGCACCGGGGCGGCCTCTCCAGCCCCTCTCTGCCCGTCACCCCGCTGAAAGTGAACCACAGAGGTCCTATTAACACATCTTTCAAATCATTCCCAACCCCCATACCTCCCCCCTCCCCGTATTCCTACACACAACAAAAAGATTCCTTAAGAATATATGGCCACTTGTTAGTGCTTAAGCACTTCTTTACTTGAATGTATAAGGACTATGGGACTACACTGCACCAGCAGAACCAGACTCTGGGTTTTCCAAGCCCCTTTCTAGAGGTTTTCACATAGGAACTGATGGAGAATTTACTTATTTTCCAGAAATCAAAGATCCGGGGTTAAGGGAAGCAGAACTTTCCCAGCATTTCAGCCACTCACAACACAAATGTTTGTTTGGGATGTCGTAAGATTTGTACCTCACATGCAGGGTGTATTTCTTTTGTGAAGTAGGGAAGAAAACTGAAACACATTCTGCAAACAGAATTTGGGAAGCCTGCTGGAAAACAGGCACTTGAACACAGGTCTCTTCAAATGCAGACAGGCATCCCCTCATCTAGTTTCTGTCTCTCATGTTGAGGCTCTAGTGTGTCACTTCGAGTGTTTTAAAATGTAACATCTGGCCCTCGGGGCTCAAGTGTTGTCCTTTAACTGCACATCAGGCTGAGACACTCAAATGCTGTAACTACACGTGCCTGCTCCATCTTCTTAATACTCCCCTACCTGGAATGAAAAAAGCTGTCAGCTTATACTCAAACAAATACATAGCATAAAAATTTGAACAGTGCCACAGAGAACAAAGGATGCCAGGATATGGCACATACCACATAAAAAAAATGTATTTTTTTAATAAGACATAAATAAGCACATATAACCCTTACATACATTTTTTTCAGGAAACTTACAGTAACTCCAGAAAAGAAAAAAAAAGATCCTGCACAAGAGGCCAGTGCAAACAGGCATCACCTCCACAGTTTAAGGCAATATCAGGATTTCAGTACAACTTGGTGCAGTTAAGAGTGGGTTTTCAGCAGTTTGAATCTCACTGGTTCAGTCCTTTATTGTTGAAGCCACAGATGAACTGACTGAGTGTGCATGACCCCATCAGTACAAGGAAAAACCTTTAGACTATGAAATATGCTTGTTGCTGAACCACAGGCACAAGGATTTGCCCTTTGCATATTTTAAGTCAGGTGCTGGTAAGTCAGTGCTCCACTGTCTGGATGTCTTGATTAACATTTTGCTTTCCACTCCAGACAGACTTGGTGGCAAATTAATGTTTTACTTCAGTTTATTATAGTAATCTAAGAATCATTAAAGACATCTCAGAGAGAGTCACCACTTTGGCAGAAACGCCAGTAAGAAGCAAAAAAGTCAACTTAGAAAAATGTTGCCTTTCAAAAGAGACTATGATGCCACTTCAACAGTGATGATTTCACACTTCCCAGTGTCTTGATCTGTGCAGGTAACATGCAAGGACCCATCCCTAGGTAAGAGAGAAAGGTACATTTAGGACTCCCTCAACACAACACCTAGTATGTTACTACAGGTCCCAGAGAGGATAAACAAGTCTTCATGCAGACAAAAAAAAAAAAAAAGATAAATATCCAGGGAAGAATGTGGTTCAACACAGATGAAATTGATTTATGAAATTAACTTTAGTCTGAGTATCAGATACACACTTCTTGTTCTCCATTAAAGCATCTATCTTCCCTATATATGGTGGAACAGATTCAGAAACATGTTTAAATACTGCAACTAAGTTTATCTAGTCCAGGTTTGTAATATGCAGGAATATTATGAAAGATATTTATCCTGAGTAACAGCAACCAACAGATAAGCCTGTCTTCTCAAAGCATGGGAACTTGACTTGTAGAAAGCATTAGTCTTTAAATACCAAGGATCTCCTTCAACAAGGAAAATCTTAATTTTCAAAATCCAAGGATTACAGAAAATACTGAATCTGAATCCCACTCCATCTAGACATAGAACAGCCACACTTAATATTTAGATAGAAATAGATGTCTTAGTGTGCCCTTTCCCTCTTTTTCACCTAAATATTACTAACACCTTTAAAACAATGCAGGTTTTCTGCATTACACAGTAACATAAATAATCTCTAGGATGTTCTTCTTATCAACAACTGCAATTCCCTGTATAACTAGTGACGTATTTAGGTGAAGTCTTTTAATAGAGTATTAATACATCAGTCAGTTAACATAAGAAAACGAAGTATTTTTATCTCAAATAGCAAGTAAGGATTTAGTTTTTCAGCAACATCTAGACAATCTTCATACCATTTAGAAAAGCAGCATGAACTACAGGACAGTCCTGAGAAGACAAACATGCTCTGACTACTTCTAAGTCCACCTTCTGATACCTTTACAAACTATTTAGACTATTTCAACATAGCCCAAGCACTCCTACTAACACCTAAGAAAGAAAATTTTCTTAGGTATCATGTCATCCCCACTCCCCACCCCACCATAAGATACTTTGTATTTTCCCATAAGAAGGTAGTTCTGTAAGAACTAGATATATGAAACCTGATTTCCTGTGGCAGTTTCTAATGCTTCCTTGTCTCTGAAAGGATAGAGCCACCAGTTTTCCTCAAAAATGCTGCATCTGAGAAGTCCTTCCCAGTTTCCTTACTAACAATGACAAATTCTACTTCAGTTTCTCCTAAGAGTGTGGGTATCCAGCAGAACTCCCTGACCCTCCTCTACAGGAAATTTGAGATCCTGACTGATCTCACACATGGTTAAACTGATCAATAGTTCACAAGTTGCTAAAAATAATCTATACAACTGTGTTAAGTTCTATTTCTTTAGAAATCAAACAATGAAAGCACAGAAGGTACTGAATGAAACCCACAATCCTAGAGAATATACTCCTCACTAGGACATAGCCATGTCAACACTGAAATTTCTCAACACAAAATTAAACATTCTGTAAAGGGAGAAAAGACTGCTTGTCAGGAGCGTGACAAAGCAAGTCAAACAGCAGATCAATAAAAATTTTGTATACCTTTTCATTGTGAGAACAGTTAGTATATCATGTAGGCCATCTTCCTTTTTATCTAAATCCTGGAGTACAATCTATTTAAAAAAAAAAAAAAGGTAGTTACAATCAGGTTCTCTAAATGTTTGCACAGCAATTTAGTGGAAGTAATACCTAAGGTATGCAATTTATGCTGTTAGCATCTGATGCTAATCATTCAACATCAAAGCATGCCCCAGTAGGCTTCATTCATTTATAGTGCAAATCTGTGTACTTTTAGTTGTTTGAACTAGGGTTTCTGTGGTTTTGTTTCAGAGTCTATCACCAAAATAGCTGCAGATCCCCCAGACAACACTAAAAGCTGAGAATGTCCCTTTACATATAATCATTCCTGTAATTATTACCTAACAGTCTTGTCTTATCCCCTTAAAAATCTTTGTGCAGGACTAAAGTGGAGTAACAATTTTTTTCAACTATTCCATCCATTTCAGCCGCATCTGCCCCCTCCCTGGTGCTTAAAGTGCACTGAAGCCAAGGTCAGCACATCACTACTGTTTCAAACAAGTTGTGTCATCTCAATAGGTTGACTGGTAGACAACAAGTTATCCATGAGACAAAAATTTGCCCTTGTGGCCAAGGCAAATGGTATCTTGAGGTGCATTAAAAGGAGTGTCTCCAGCAGATTGAGGAAGGTTCTCCTTCCACTCTACTTGGCCCTGTGAGACCTCACTTGGGAGTACTGTGTCCAGTTCTGGGCTCCCCAGTTCAAGAGGGACAGGGATCTACTTGAGAGTCCAAAGGAGGCTACAAGGATGATTAAGGGACTGGAACATCTGCCTTACAAGGAAAGGCTGAGAGACCTGGGGCTTTTCAGTCTTCATAGGAGAAGACTGAGGGGGGATCTAATTAAAGTCTATAAATACATGAGGGCTGGGCATCAAAAAGGCAGGGACAACCTCTTTTCACTTGTGCCCTGTGATAGGGTGAGGGGTAATGGATTCAAACTTAAGCACAAGAAAGTCCACCTCAACATGAAGAACTTCTTTACTGTGAGGGTAACAGAGCATTGTAACAGGCTCCCCAGAGTGGCTGTGGAGTCTCCTTCTCTGGAGACTTCCAAGACCCGTCTGGATGCCTTTCTGAGTGATCTGTGCTAGTTTTCGGTCCTGCTCTGGCAGGGAGATTGGACTTGATGATCTTTTCAGGTGCCTTCCAACCCCTAACATTCTGTGACTCTTGAGTGGTATCTTTTTATCAGGTGAGGATTTATTCATCTTACCACTGTGAAAAATCAGATGCTGTGTTTAATATCAAGATCCTGTCCAATCTAGGAAGATCAAAAAGTAATCAACAGTACATACACTAGCTACATCACTACTCCCAGCAGTTTAATTTCTAAAATGTTGGAGATCTGCACATTTATAGAGGAACACTTGAGACCATACTCAAAGAGATGCCTGTCATTCTAATTTCGTAACAAGAAATTCTCGTAGGGGTGGGATTGGTTTAAAATTTTTATTAGTATTTTTTTCAGATCCATTTAATGTCCAAGTGATTAATATCAGAAGTGCACATGAATGTGTATATACTCACCTGTGCAAATTTACTTTCTTCATTCATGGGACCTTTCCCCAGAGACTCATATAGTTCAAGACACACAGAAGCAGCATTTCCAGGAGCATGCAGGGTGTGCTGCCTTCGAGCTGGCAATGGTGTCCCTGATGGAAACAGCACTGTGAATCTGTCAGCCCCTGACTCATCTACTCCCTTGAAAAAGAAAAAAAAAATTCATGCCTTTCTCTAAGTACTTTAGTGACTTGGAATCATTACAACAGTGCTCCATCAGCAAAGAAATCCAAGATTCATTCACTTACCACATTACCATAACAGCACACAAAAAGATGTTCCTATAAATAAATGAAAAACACAGCAAAGATACAATCTATCTCCCCTTAAAACAAAGCAGTTTTTCTTGACTCTTTTTGTCAGTAAACTGTTACCACTTCTACTGCTGATCTATAGCAAATTTGTATAACAAACAATAAAACAGTTCTAACATCATGTGTAAGTAGTGCTGTATATTCATAAGTTCATAATTTCAGCCTTACCTTCAGAAGAATATCTTTAGCAGAACACTCAATAAAGAGTGCTTCTTCTTCTAACAAAGGATTTTCTTACCCTAGCAGAATTCCTGCCTCTATGGCTGCACCAATGGGAATAACTTCATCTGGAGGAATTGAATTCAATAATTCCACCGTTGGGAAAATGTCTTTGATCAGCTGCTGTAGCTTTGGGATTCGAGCAGACCCACCACACAGGACTACCTGGAAAACATGTCTTAATTATTTCAAATTTCTTCTGACAGGTCACAACCTGCACTACAGAAACGCAGACTGCTCTGGGATATTTTATCATCTGCAGTTGTTGAAAGAAAAATTGATACCATCTTTGCTTGACTTCTGTTACTTCTGTATTTGACATTCAAGGAAATAATCTGCAAAATTGAAATGGTATCTTGAAAAAGTGTCTGTTATAGTAAGCATCAGCTAGATGAAGTAACATGTTAAAAATTGAGGAATTCATCATAAAACAATGCCAGGTTGGAAAGGACCTCCAGAGGTCATCTTGTCTAACCTCCTGCCCAGAGCAGGTCCAGTTATAACAGGCTGCTTAGGACAGTGTCTCAGAAACAGACTCCCCAGGCTCTGTGGGCTCTTGTTTCAGTGTTGGATCACCCTAGCACTACAAATTCTTTCCTTGGCATATAAAATCTCCCCATGTTATAACTTGTGCCGCTTGCCACCCACCCTCCCACCAGGCACTTGCCGGAAGGAATAAATCAGGTTTTGTCTCATGTACACCTTCCCATTAGGTAACTGTAAGCAGCACTAGTCTCCCCTCAGCCTTCTCTTCTTACGGGTGAGCAAACACAGCTCTCTTGGCCTCTGTACATCGTTTGCTCCAACCCCAAACCATCTTGGCAACCCTCCAACTGTACTGGCTCCAGTAAGTCAGTACCTTTCCTCTCTTGTGAAGCCCAAAAATGATGAGACTATATCTGGACGTTCTTGTCCAAGTGCCAAAGAGGGAATCAAGCGCGTCCCTACACCCATGGCTACACCCCTGCTATTACAGCCCAGCATGTGAGTGGCAGGCTGTGCTGCAGAGACACACACTGCTGCCTGCTATCAAACTTGCTGTTTACTAGAACCCCCATTCTTTTCCTGCAAAGCTGTTTTCTAGCAACCCCCAGCTTGTCCTGCTGCACGGGGTTATTCCATCCCAGACTCTGCTCATGCCTCTGTTCATCTTCACAACGTTCTTCTCCACTGGACTCAATGATCAATGTAGGTCCCTTCCAACTGAAATATTTTATTGTACATTCATTTCTTGCACCTTTTTCAACTCCTCTGAACAACAGCCTTGACCTACAGTGGTACTGATTGCTCCTCTCATTTTGGTATTGTCTGCAAACTTGCTGAGAGCAAGTGCTAGCCCATCACCTGTGTTATTAGGGGACACTGAACATTACCAGCCCCAGTATCAAATCCTGAGGGTTGTCACTGACAACCAATCACCACTGACTGATCATGTGCAAGAAAAAAACTCTTTCAAACCCTTCTCTTACTACAGTAACTTTGTTGAGATCAATCAGATCTGTAAACAAACCTAATTCTCACTTTTATTCATGTAAAACACAAGTTGTAAATTAGGTTCATTTATTTTACACTTAAAGTGCCCTGACTCCAAGCATTAAGGGCCAAGAGAGCACACTGGGCTGCAGAAAAACTACTGCCACCGGAAAGAACAATAGCCTAGGATACTTCATTATCCTACTAGTGAAACTCTGATGTGACAGAGCAAACACTAACAGAGAGTCTGAAACAGCACTGACTATCATTAAAAGCCCTCTAACTTGCTGCAGAAGTTATCTGCCAATTCCATCAGCAACAAATGCAGCACAATTTGCCACACACAGGTGCACAGGGGTGGTGATGAAGTTACCCTTCCATTAAAGCAAAAAAGACATTTGAAAAAACCTTGCAACATTTCCTACTTTACCATGTTTGGTATTTAAGCACTTTATGGTTTGGCATTTAGTGCATTGCTAAATTTTTTAAGCTGACAAGAAAGAACACAGGCACCAAGCAGACCCCAAGTGATTTTTTCAACTCAGACAAAAACAGTTGAAACTTGGGCTTTCTTCAGAAGTGTTATCAAATCCCATCCAAAGCTCAGCGAGAGCAGAAGAATGTCTATGGACTCAAATAAGGTACTTCTTTGCTTGACCAAGAGTTACACAAACACATCAAATGGAGACAAATCCTCTATCACTGCCTTAACAAGCACCTGTTAGAAGCACGTTGCTGACTCTACCTTACACATCAGGCAACAGAAACCAAAGCCAAGACAGCAGTTCTAAAGATCCTTTGCTGGGTTTGAGCCAAAAATGCTTTAGTACATCATGAAATAATCTCAGTCTGCAAGGCAAATAGACCTTGTAAATACTCTTCTCATGGAGTTGTAAAACATACTACAGACAAGTGACTTTTACTATTACCTTATTGATATCATCTGCTGTAAATCCAACTTGCTGCAAGAGCTTTTTAATTGCTTCTACACATTTACTAAAAAGTGAAGAACAGATAAGTTCAAACCTGGCCCTAGAGAGAAAAAAAAAAAAAATCAGTAAGTGTAATTACATCCATTAGAGACAAATACCTGAAATGGAAGAACACTTTTTAGAACATACTTTGGTTCACTTGCTATACCTGATACTAAGGGATTTTTTTTTTTTTAAATCTTATTTCCCAATTATTAATTCTAAAGAAGTGACTTTGCTGGTGGTGTGAAAATATCTGTGCTATTGATTCCACCATTAACACCTACACGGAATGCACATTCTTCTTCAGTGTATTCCAGAGAAAAATCAGTATTGTTCTCTTGACTCATGTGAAAAAAAAACCCCAAAATCCTGGAACTGCTTTAACATCTTTAAAATGGAGACAAAGACTCAAATGTGCCTCTTAGAATGTTCAGAGAGAAATCAAACTGCGCCCTTACTTGCAAACAATGACTGGGTCCTTAAACAAAATGAAAAACAAGCTTGTGTTTGCTTTGGGCTCTTTCAAGCCTGAAGAGGAATTTTATTCTGTATGAATGCAGCAAGTAACATTCTGCAACATCAGTCCAGGAGACTACCACCTTATCCAAAACTGACCTAGACAACTTACACAGCATTTCTTCTCACACTTGCAAAAATACTGTGCCTTATTTTACCAGATCCATCTGCTACATCAGTAGGTAAAAGGTTCTGGAATGGAAAAGTTTTTCATTTTACTAAAGCTGCTGCTGATTCGAAGAGCAATCAGATTAGCTAATCTCAATAAGAAATCACCCCAAGAGAAAAAAAAGACTTAAGAGTAGGATATAGCAGGATGAAAAAAAGAAAACATCTTTCTATTCCAGCTGTCAAAAAGAGGCAACATCAAGATTTTCATTATTCCTGTAAATCTGGAGCTCATTTAGATGAACGAGTCTAAACCCTTCTTTTCTTTAAGGGAAATTCAACAACAAAATCAGTGAGGGGTGAGGGATGGAAACAGCTTGAGTATCTTTTCTCCTGTCATCAACAGTCAGACTCTAAAGATGAGGTCTCTCTGTGCCTTTTCACACTAGTATTTTCTAACCATTAAGGCAACATTGTTAGTTTACTACCCTAGCTACTACAGATCTCACCATAACAGAGCCCTCAATATGAAAAAAGTACACAAGTTAGTATTCAATCTTCTGTTTCTTAAATTCATATAACCAAAAATAAAGCTTACTGAACATCCTAAATACCACCTAAAACTATTTCAACCAGTTTTATATACAAGCTTTGTATATACAATGTTTATAGTGTCAAGATTTGTTTCACCTGGACACATTACAATCAAAATCCAATCCATCATACAACGAATCTACAAAACAGTTTGCACTTCCCAGGGTTGACAACGAGTGTTTAGCAACATCAGCGCTGTTCATTAGCTTCATCATGGCTCTGGGATTTCCTCTAATATCATGTTTACAAGACCTACATTTAAAAACAAAACAAAAAAAAGATGTGTCAATTTGTATCAGTTTCAAGAGGCAGGCGTTAAGAGCGATACTGCTAACCTTCTGAAAGGAAAAACAGGTTAAAGCTATTGAGCTTTCTTCTGTAGACATATTATCTACAATGTCTCTACTTAAGTCTCATAAATAAGTGTCTCTTTCAATTTCACCTGAAGGACACTGCGTAGAAGCAACATGAACCTGGGTATTAATGTGTTTCAATCTTTCTGAACAGCACTTCAGCTGAACAAATCCTCTAAGTGACTGCAAGGAACAGCAAGAAAAGGCCTGAAAGTTAATCAATTGTTACTAGATTAAGAAGAAACAGAACACTGAACATTAGACATGCCAACAGAATAATATGTTCCATGCAAAAAAGTGTCCTCCTGTGATAGCTCACAAGTGCCGCCTCAAGATCATAAGAGCTAAGGGAAATGCATCTGTTCATCTTTGCTCCTCACAGGACGATGTGCCACAGAGACTTCACTCAGAGGACCCAAGCCCCACCACATTCCTTCGTGCCAACAAGAAAAACTATCAAAATCCACATTGTTGAATTTCCTGCCACCCCAAAAGCTTGTGACAAAGATGTAAGCAGTCTGTAGTCAAACATCACTGGAAACACAGGACAGTTCATGGCTGAGCCCTTAACAGTTTAACACTGACTTCAGGCAGCATCTACCCAAAACTAAGTATTTTCCAGCCTTCCTCCTTAGCCCCCAACAGCTGACTGTTCCTTTAATAACATTACTTCACCCATTTCACATGCAGACAGTCTGCTACATCAATACAATTTTATTATTTTTTTTAAAAGCAAACATGGGATAACAAAGTTCCTGTCCTAACAGAACATGCCTGGAATGCAAAACCTACCTCTGAAATTCAGAAGCTAAGTGTTGTGCTAGAGCTTCTGTGAAGCAAACTCCACCAATGCTGTCATCTGTGTTTGTAGCAAGCACACGGTATATTCCACTGTTCACTTCAATGACTGTGATAGAAAGTGATGTCCCACCAAGTTTATAAACCAACACATTGCTGTTGTGTTAAAGAGAAAGTAGTATTAATAAACCATCTCAAATGATATTTTCTTAGACATGCTTTCTGACAATGTGACCACCATATAATGCATTGCAGGTTATCAGTTTTGTCAAGGTAATTTGACTTTTTTGTATTTTAATGCATCTTAGAACCACTTACTTGACAGTGCTTCCTAAAGAACAAAATCAGTCTATTTCAAACAGTGATAGTAGCCAACGTTTTGCCTACAACACAACTGAGACTTGAGCATTACATTCAAGATTATAGGCAAGAATTATATGAGAAGGGCAAAAAATGCCAACAAAGAAGATAAAAGACAAGACATCTGTTTGCACTGACAGCAGCCTTTGCTATTTTCAAAATCTTCTGAATTATCTGAATATTCATAAGGGAAACCAAATGCACCTATTGAACTCAGGAATTTGGCTTTATTTCTTCTACTGTACATAAAATGATCTCATGTCCTACAAATAAAAAACAGCTACGCCAAATTCTGTTTAAGAGATGCATTATACCGCAAGCCAATCAACTCACTAAAAACAAGACAGAATCTGGGGACACATTTTTAAAGACAACTGTAAAAAAAAAAAAAAAAAAGGGATTTAAAACACGATGGATTTACAACTTCTAGACTGTTACTTGCTTTATCTAGAGAAAAAAGAAAAAAAAAAGTCTCAAATCATTAGTCTTGTACTGACTGTGAAGACAACACAGCATTCCCTCATTTATGATTTCTCAGGATTTAAGAGCAGCATCTTAAATTTAAGAAGTAAAATACTAGGATTTTACCTTTTCCCAGTGGGTGAATCTTGGCCAATTCCATAAGCCAGGAGCGCTGCAGAGGGTTCATGAATTAATCTCATAACATTAAATCCAGCAGCTGCAGCTGCTTCCCTGTGATAAGGCATAACAGCATTTCTTTTCACTTTCATGATTTCACTGTAGTCACACACCCTGTTAAGATTTCATCTGAACTACAAATGCCACCAACTCAGAACTTGGTTACAGCATGGTATTAACAAGACAGTGACTGGAAAAGAAGGGTATCAGCTGCTACTGTATTATTCCAGTAGCTGGATCTGCTCATTGCCAAAAAAAACCACTGTCACCCTACGTACCCCATGAACCCCAACAAAACCCATCAACTACAAGATTAACAACCCCACCCTCAATCAAAATCAGTAACTTATCTTCAGATGTGGCACTAAAAAGTCTTGGCACCTTACTTCACCAGTTACCATGGGAGAGACAATGCTTTTATTTCCTAATCAAGTTCCTGCACCTCACTTCCCGGCATTTTCTTTATATGTTTTCCTGAAACTTCAGTAACCCTGAGACTACCCTGCAAGTTGTTTCCTTCACTTTTGAAGCTATGTTGAAACTAGTATGCCAAAGCACTAGAAAGTTTCAGTATATATACTGCAAATACTCAGCCACCAAAGTTTTATGACCAACTTCAAGTGTGCCCAAGTATTTCAGGACAGTTCAACACAAGGGCTTCTACATACCAGAAAACAGAAATAGATAGTGCCAATTATACACCACTTTGAGTTGCTTTATTTTTTCATATGGAAAAACGTTTTACAGCTACATTTCCAAGTCGAACTTCCAAGCAGAATACTAGTTTGTATTCTGTACCTGCTCTCACAATAAAGTCATGCAACACCATTTGGTTTGCCGAGTACTGTTGTTGGCTGGGAAATTATGGAAGAGGGTTCAGGAGAGATTGGCATTTCAAAGCAAACACTGAAGATCCACTAGAAATAACACATCTGAAGTGACATTCTATCCTCAATGACACTGAAATTCCCTTCTAATTCAGTTGATTCAGAATTTAATTTTGGTTACAACAGTGAAACCCTGTATAAAGTCAGGATGTTCATCTCCTACTTTCACATTCTCCCAATTCAAACAACATTCCAATATCCTGATAGTCACAAGCAGAAGCTCAGCAGGAGAATTCCTATTCCAAATTGCCACCTTCAGACATGTTAAGTAACAGCAAAATCTTGATCCTCTTACCCAAGGGCATTTTTCTGATTCTCTTCAAAATCAAATGGTACCGTGATAACAACATCATTTACATCTGAACCCAATGCAGACTGAGCAGTTTCTGTTGATAAACATATCCAGAACATGTTAATGAAATGCAAAAAACCACAATATACATCTTAAAATTATTACATCAGCTTAAAAAAAGGAAGTATGTTACGATTTTACTAATTATGTACCTTTCATTTTACTGAAAATCAATTTTGCCACATCTTCTGGGTTAATAAGTTTATTGTCTATTTCAAACTGAAGTTTTCCATTCTTCTCAATTACCTGTAAGTAAAGCCAACACACCTTTGTTAGCTACCTAATTTGGTTATCAACAAAAAGTGAAGTTTAATTTTGTTTCTGTTTAAACTAAGAAGTGCTGGACTGTTTAAATACTTTCTGTGTCAATACTCCACTGCAAGAGAATAAATGCTTTCGAGATGCTTATCAAATATGATAAAAAACACTAGTATTATCCAACAGAGAAGACAGTGACATTCATGTGGAGTTGAAGGCTCCAGACTTTGTTTTTCTATTAAGAAGTTTTCCTTAATACAAAAGGAACATTTACAACAAAAGCATTTGCCTGCTTATATTGCATAAGAAAAAGTAACAACAGCTGATCCCTACAGAACATGGTGTGGCACAAACAATGCCAAGAACAAGTATAAAATGATATAAGTTATTCTGAGAAAAACAAACAAAAAAAACCCCTAGATCATACTCACTGAACATTTGCTCTCTGCAACGTACTTCTCTGCCTTTGGGTCACCAGAGCTGTCAAGACAAATTCAAAATAACAAGATAAAACATATGTTCAAGGGTAAATGCACAAATTTATCTTGCTGATAATCCTTACAATGTCTATGAAGCTATGCTTCAACCAAAACTTCTGTTTCTACTCTATGCAAACACTGACACAGCATAAGAAAAACCCAACATTTCTGACTGCTGTTATATTTCAATCCCCTTTCCCCAAACTAATAACAGAAAAAATACCTGGTACTGCTTGAAAAAGGAAAACAAAGCTAACATGTTGTTTTAACCTGCTATCCCAAATAACCATTTAAAAATATTTCAGTGCCACTTTTGTTGCATTGACAGAAATAACATGACATCAATAAGTTGACTCTCCTCAATCCTCTACTAAGTCTATGAACTTAAGCATCTGAGAAGTGCTGTGAAATACATCAGCATAGACAGCATCCTGTTAGCTCCTTTCAGTGGAAGAGCTGCATCACATAACCAGGCTATCATTGAAAAGCTCTGTGGCATCTCTGACATGAGACCTAAACCAACCAGTTTAGTTCTAGTGTCACTGCAACTGCCAGAATAAACCATCACAGCTCCGCTAACTAAAGGGTCCCAACAGGCATTAGGTCAGCGAGCTTCACTATTGTAATGAAAGGCAACACACAAGTGGCAATACAGAGTGGATTTCAGCCACAGGAGAACACCCGGGTAACAAGCAAATATTTTAGTTAGGGAACTTAAGTACAGATCAAAAGCACGCATGCAACTTGTTAGTAAATTTCACAATTTGCTTTTCACACACAAAACAATGCAGCATGCTCTAGGAATGAAATGCAAATTAATAATTTCCTAACATAATTAATGTTTAAGGTCTGACGTCCTCCTATCAACTCCAAGTTAACTTAACTACTATCACACTCCATTACAAAGCCTTCAACACCAGGGCTGAGACTACGTTTCAATAAACTGCTTTCACAAGCAAGACTGAACTTCTCACCTTCCCTTTCACGCTTGTTAACTTACCTTCGCCCAAGGATCTGCTTTACTTTCACTACAGTGTTCGAAATGTTCCTTATTCTACTTTGCTTTGCAGCTAAACCAACAACCTGAATAAAAAAAAACAACAACAACAAACCCAAGATGTGAGCAACAAGCAAAAGCTCTCTCCCCTCCAAACCCTACCCGCAGAAGGCAAACCTCACCTCCTCGCTTTCGGAGAAAGCAACGACCGCGGGAGTCACCCTGTCCCCGGCATCGTTGGCGACCACGTCTGCGCGCCCATCCTGCGGACACAGGCCCCACCGTGAGCCGCCCCACCGTGAGCCGCCCCTCCGGCCTCCCCGCGCAAGCGCCGTGAGGGAACCGAGATCAGCCCGCCCAAGACCCCCGCGCG